CTCACCTACGATTTCCTCTAGTCCTTTTACCCTTTCTGCCTGCTGGAACCGAACAACTAAAATCAGATTTCCTGCTGTCAGAACACCGAAAAATTCACAACATCATTTCCAAGAAGGTAGAAATTCGACTTGTTGCTGGGCACAATTTTTTACCTCTCGTCTTTGGTCCAAGCCAGCCGCTGATTGCGAAGCTAGTCGGGCCTTCCTTCTCTTAAAGCTCAACAAAGGCTTCTTGTTGAAACATCCTCCGTTATTTGCCAGATTTCGGCCGATACTGAGCAGCACTTCAACTTCAATTCGACTGATGGTGAGAGGAAAAAATGAAAAGGTGTTTAAAGGTTGAGGATGTCGTGGATACGAAACGACTACAGTGATAGTTGCTTCTGTTCAAGCCTCCGAGATTGGTATATGATTTATTCGGCTTACGTTTCGGCGCACTCGCCTTCTTCGGAGCCTGCAAATCGAAGCATCTTTTTGAAACAATTCGTCCAAGCAACATTTCAGATTACAAGAAAGAAAAACTAAGGGAGAATAAGCCATGAACGATGTCGTAACCCGCTAACCTTTAAAAAAGCCGAGCGCTAGAAGGCACCCTTTGCTTAAAGACCGTGCGGTCAGGTTTTTATGTGTTTTTGTTTGTGTCATATTTCGAAACGAGTCCACTACCCATTTTGAGGTTCTCAAGGAATGCTAGTTTCCTTGTGAAGCTGTCTTTGGGCTTTGATAGCGCTAAGAAATCTAGAAAATAGCGCTTTTGCAGAGAATGAACTGCTGAGAAACAAGGTCTTCCTGTATTCGATACTATAAGATACTATAGAAAAACTTCTCTTGTGGAGCTGATGTTCCTTTCCACATAAATGCTTGAAAACCGCATGAGAATTAATAATTGAAATAGTAAGAAAAATATACAAACACTGGAGAGGTGAACTAGTTGAGAACGCGCCAATTCTTTCAAACTGAACTTTCTTATTTCATTATTTCAGTTTTCGGGGAACTATTTTGCGCATCTTATCCGTCACTTGTTTTTTATAAATATGTTAATTTGAGACATTCTCGTTGCTTCTTGACCGCGTTAGATCAAATACAAGAAGCTTCCGAAGTTCTGACTGTTATTGTCTAGTCATTGGCTGCGCTCATTTTGTAGACGGAAAAGAGGCATACTGACCGACATCCAAACATACATACTTGCAAACCGGCACATGGCTTTTCTTCTCTTTTTTATATAACAGAATGTTTACTTGGATGACATAGTTGTCATAGAGTGCCAGCAAGGAGCCGTGGTATGATGATCTGTTCGTGCGGATATTCCAGAGAGCGATTAATCCTATCCTCCCGACACAATGACAATCTCAATGAGGCTCCGTTTTCAGTGTTTCACTAGATGTAATTCGATAAGATATCGCCGAAGAATACCCTGAAGACGGAATTTAGGATTGGGACCGCAACCCTGTTTTGTTGCCCATCTAACACTTCCACCGTTTCGCACGTTGGTAAGTTCATGGTGCGTACCGCTGGAAAAGATTGCACTAGGGCTGCTATTCCTGGACTTTTCTCATTTTTCCGTTACCGTCTTGTTACTTGTTACAATTCGTTTCGCTTTGAGGGGGACGGGATATCTTCGATCAATGTTTGGCTTGTCTTCGTTTTGGAAGATTTGAAATGGCTGCTATCTCTAAAAAGAAATACCTACCTACGAACGCTCCTTGATTACACATTGGAAAAATACCCAGAATTAAGTAAGATAGGATACCCGTTCGCACCGCGGACTGGTAGCAGAGCGCCTGTTTTCTTTTGCCACAGGCGGGCACACTCACTGTCGATTGATCTGCCGACGGGGAGTGTGCCCGCCTTCGTCCGCTTTCCGACCAATTGACTGTCCTATGGCTAAAATCTCTGGACGCGGTCTGAAGTTTAAAAATTGTCAATGTGCTGAATGGCAAGAAAGTGAGACAAAGTGTATTTCGTGTGTCGCGGTCTAAGCGGACTTGTAACAAAACATAGAACAAATCAGAACAAGTGTCAATGCTGCTGACGTTCGTTTTCCTACTATTTCTTCCTATTTTTTTTTCTTCTCAAATGATCGCAACCCCAATGGGCTATCTAACTGCGTTGATCATGAGCAACACTGCGAAAGCCGTCCAGAATCAAAAGAACAAAGAGACTTCGCGCTCCTCGTTGTGACTCGACATTACGTGACGAAATTTACCTTATGTATTTATCTTATGTCAGAGCAGCTTGCTAATAAGAAAACTCTCCCAAAGGCAAACCTTTGTGTCGGCTTATGGTCAGGTTGGAAAAGGCATGAAGCTTTCAAGTAACAGGGCCCAACATGCGCCTTCTAGTGTTCGCGAAGTTGTGTTTAGAAGCGTTAGACAAATCGAATAGTCCTGATCAGAATTTGGAAGGAAAGCCAGGCATGCGGACGATAGAAACTTTCTTGGAACTAGACCCTGGATATCTTTTGCATAATATCCGAGTAGTAAGAGGGCGGTGTGCATTTTCGAATGACTGTGAGCCCTTTTTCCACATTGAAGGTACTGACAGAGGACGTGAGCAAATGTGCCGCACCATTTGTGAAATCACCAGTAAGCCTTATTCTCATTACTAGGCAATTCGGGAATGTTCTTCATACGACGTCAAGACTTTAAGAGGGGTAGGTGCTTGGTCGGGTAGCTTGCTTTATCAAAAGCATTGATCTTATCTATAGTATAATATTTTCAGACCATCAGGGAAAAGCAAAGGTCGGAACTCATGGCCAAATAGCGAAGGTTCCATCCAGAGTGTATCAGAATGATTATTATTAACACGTGGACATCTCTAGGTTTAGTCTTGATTAGAGGAGCGCTGCACCCGTGCTCCGGTCGGACTGCGCGCACCAATGTTCAACAGCGCGCCCAGTGCTATTCGATTTAGGTGGAACCTAGGCAAGCATACTGAGAAATCGTTCCTGTCAAACTTCCATGGGTAGAAGCCGCCACCGCACTCTTAATCTTGCCTCAAGACCATCCACTCTGAGTCAAGATTTTGTGTTTAACCTACAGGCGAAAACCAGGTTTACAGGTCCTATCTCGCGGTTGGAGTGAGCTGCTTAAAGGCAAAGTTCGGGATAATTGGTTGAAATAGTTCTTTCCTGTCAAATATGCAGCAGTACGCAAGCGCGGACCATGTGCAGAAGTGACGGGTGATTTGACAAGGTTTAGACGTTAGGCGCGCTAGGTTGGAGCATTGGCGCCGCCCCATCCCCATTGAGCCCGCCCACTGTTATAACGCAACCTTCTTCAAACGTTGAACATAATGTCATGTTTTGTTTTAGAAGGTCCGTAGGAGGCATTTTTGCGGATTTTTCTGCCACGGTCACTTAAACGTCTATGTTGACGGTCATTATCGGTGAACATTGCATTCATCCTGAGAAGACTCAATTATTTAAAATAATTGAAACCAACAGAAAAGCAGAAATAAGCAGAAACAATAGAAAATTGAAAGGAATTAATTCCCATTGTTGATTTTTATGCCCGTGTCGGTTGTTGGCATGGAGCCAGCAGCTGCTGTGAATACGTTCAGACAACGTAATCCTCCCAGCCCATGCTTATAAGTAACTAACGAAGAGAGAGGAGTTTATTATTTTGGACCATTTCGGCTTTAGCTCCTGCTTTTTTTATTAGGGTTTGATACAGTTAGCACCCGAGGCTCATATCCGAACAGAGAAATTCCTCATTTTATCCCGGAGTCTACCTTTAAGGATTTGATGTGGCAGCCGGCTGCACTGTGTTGTAGAATCCACGCGGTTAAGCATTTTCAACAATTCGTCTGAATTCAGCCAGTGCTTGGGAAACACAGCGATTTTTATCAAAAGCGGTGACTGCCATGTCACCCTCTTATCTAAAGGTAGCACTTTTGAAGACCCCCCAATCATTGAAATGGTGGGATTTATACACACACCATGTGCACCATAAGTGCTACAATTCTCCTTGTTGACATACTACCACAATAAACCGGGAGTCTGCGCAAATGAATTGAACCTTTACTGCGCCGCCCACCATCGAGGGTCATTGTCGGTAATGTGCTAAACAACACAATCTTTACCGAGACGGTCGTTTACACGCGCTGATACGTCATGGGACCGATGTTTGCGGAAAACACAGAGACCAGAATTTATCACTGCTTTTGGCTTGACGACAGTTCGCTCTAGATGCCATGACGATGGGTAAGCTGGAGACTGACGTCTGCACTCCCGAATGAAAAAGAAACCAAAAAAGGGACATTCTATCTTAAAGCCACGAGTCAGGATTAGGCAACCAGCAGGAGTTCTTCCCAGGGTGCGATAGTGGGCTCTTCTATCACTGAGGGCGCGACACTATCGCGACCCAAAAGTGCGCGGCAATGGCGCTAAGGCCTTTGTCAGCCGCGCTGCCCGCGCTGCCAGCGTAAGTTAATCTACAGAGACACGTGGGTCTCTGCGCCCTCTCGCGTGTATTGAGGCGTCATATCGCGTTTTCCCTCTGTGTCTCTCGTCGTCTACGGTCGACCTGGTCTAGGAATTTAGGGGGTTTTCTATGGTGCTTGTTTGATTTTCTCCTCACTAACGTTCCTCATTGCACCTCTTGCCTAATGTTTGAACAACACAAAACAAAATAAAGCATAAATCCTATTCCGACTCGTGCCTTTAAGCAGGTACATGTATAGGTAACGATATGAATGCCGCGATGGTCCCTTCAACGCTCAAAGGATATTGCATGTAGAACCTCAGCCTTCGATACTATGTTTGTCGAGAGACCATTTTTAAGAGTTGTCGAGACTTTTGAGCCATAAATCCAACTTTGCATCATCGTTACGGCAAGGAATTGGCCAGCGATTGGATGGCATATAACTTCCTTACACTTCAAAATTCAAAAAAAAAACAGTGTCACGACAGCAGTAGTGGCATTACATTACAACTATTTCAGGAGAAAAGCAGGTACCTGACCTACGTTACTGCTGTAGCGCCAATAGTGCTGTTCTTCATGTATTTCTGCGCTAACGTCAACATATTGAGCAGGCGGAACGAAGTAAGGAATTATCCTTGTTTCAAAAGATACGAGCGCCTAATTACTTCCAAATTGTCAGAAGTAAAGATAACAAGAGGTGCGTACTATTCAACCCATTTCTGGCTTGGCATATGCAAACCGGGGGCTTTAAACGAAAGCGTTGAAGTGGGCAGCTCGTGTGCTTCTAGAAGAGAATAATTAAAAGGCCGCAGCCTGTGTTTTGTCGGCGAAAGGAAAATGTCACAAGAAAGATTTAAAAAAGCATAAAGGAAAGAGAGACAAACACTCAAACATAAAGACACATCGCGACTATATGTTTAGTCAGCGTTGCCACATCGTCCAAGGGAGATGGCTTTTGTTTTTTCGACATAGTTTCTTGTCAAGCAGATGCATTCTACTTTCCTTGGGATGAATTAGGATTCTTTCATCAAATATCAAATTGTTTGAACCCATAAATCTGTTAGGACCGAATTTTTCCAAGGCGAGCTGGGTGTAATTGACGAGAAATCGATGGAGTATTAAACGTGATCGCAACTGCTGGAATTCAATGCAAAATTGAACTGCCAGAAAGTCAGGAGCAGTCAAAGTAAAAACTGGAGTAAGGCGTTGCAGACATGGACCGTCTGGTGTTCAGACATTCAGAGTCGCCGTGGAGTAGGGGTAAAGCTCTCAAAATTTGCACTCCAATAGGAGGGGAGCTTATGACCTGCCGGTTAGAGAGCGAGTCAGTACTATCATACACACTCAACGGCGACTTTGAATGCTCGGACGCTAGCGCTATTCATATGTGACGCTTCTCTGACCGGATTTGACTTCTCACCAATTCCTTAGCAGGTTCATTTTGCACTTTAGTTCCGATATTTGTAATCATGGTTTGAAGCTCTATCGATATATCTAGGTCTTAACTCAAAGTTCCATGGGAACTTTAATGCCTTGTGAGCGTTATTTTAGTCGACGCAGCGGCCTTTACCCCGACTGTGAGGAAAAGTCAAGCACAGGAGAAGCATGATTAAATTATCATTGACATTCAACTAATCACGAAATGTACCTTCAACGCTAGATCGTAGCGCGCATGCGCGGCCCACATGAGGGAAGCGCTTTAATGTTACGGGTGGAAGGGGGAGGGAGAAAGAGATTGAGACCTTCGAACTATTGACGAAAAGAACGCCATCGATGAAGTGAAAGGTGGTAATACGGGTCCGCATCAGCGTCATCAATATTGCAGGAAGATTTCAAGGTTTTGTATCAGGAAATAGCAGTCACACAGAGCAGAACCTCCTCGCAAAATTACTTTTTAGTGGGTATGGCTCTTCGGGGTTACTCCTGATCATCCGTCATACACTCGAATCCATTGCTCTCAGACATATGAACAAGAATCGATGGGTGAGTTTTCAATAACGACTCCTTTATCTTTGCCATCTTCTATGTGCTCGGTACATAGTGATCCACAGTATTATAGAGAGCAGCTTAAAGGAATCCTTCACGGAAAAATCATGATTCTATTTCAGCCATAAATCACTGGCTTGAGACCCATTATCCACGATAAGAATGAAAAGAACAGAAAAATTGCATTTGTTTTGATAAAATTCGAAAAACCGAAAGGCTGCTACGCGTTCAAAGTACCGCCGGACATCTGTCACAAATGCTGGCGACGGGAATGCTTCCACTTGGTTCTTGGAGTGCCTTCACTAGAAACTCTTTCTGGCCTTTTGACTTATTGCATTCACATCTCACACTTCTACTCCATCCTATTCTATCGATCGATTTATCTCTACTCTCCAATAACGATAACGGTATCATATCTAGCACGCTCTTATCGCACCCCTTTCCACATCGATAAGTCTTGGTTTTTGCTGAACGGAAGTGGATTTCGGCGTTGATAAGGCGCCACTGCCACTGAAACTTCACGTGTTCTAACATTGGGCAGGACCCCTATCCACTCCAGTACACAGCTTTCCTTATCGTCCCTATGAGAATTATCGTGACCACTTCCTTTAAAACGATCACTTCATTATATGAGCCACAACTTTGGTGTGTCGGTTTATCGGTGTGTATGTCGTTCTGTCCGTTCGGACCAACCGCTAACAGAACCGGGAGCTCGAAGGGCTACGATTCGTGTTGATGTATGATGAAGGCCAAGAGGGAGAAAGTGCACCGTATAGGCGAGAGGGCAAGGTGAAGGGGCAGCCGAGGATGGGGGCATAGGATGTGCAAAAATAAAAGTCCGCTTAAAAAGTTAGACCTATATTTCGTGCTGCTCTCTTAGACAGCGCCTTGTTGCTTCCTCTAACCTGATGTCATGATGACCTGCAATGGCATGAACGTTAAACTACCCAACGTCTTATGAACACCGAGTACGCTCGGCCGTTCCACATAGCGCTACAGTGGAGCTAGAAGAGCAGTGGAAGGGAGTACTGATTGTGCGAATTTGAGGAAAACCATTCCACAACAAAGTAAAGCTTGCGCATGAGGCGGGGGGGAGGGGGGGGCCAGTAATGGTTCGCGCGTGGTTGCCGGATTAGTTGGTAACTTCAAAAAACGGAAATCGAACGATCATGATTCGGATAATATCAACCGCGTTGTCGTCGTTATCCCTTCCATTGCCAAACGGTGAGCGTATCTGACTAAGGAAAGGCCTTTAAATCTCCATGGTCAGTCCAGAGATGAAATAAGCACTCCTACAGTGCCTTCCAATACGAACACAAATGAAAACTGCTGTCCGAGTTAGGATGGGGAATTCATGGCTTGCTACTCAGTTTATCAAATTCTGCATGCACTAGAACCACAGTCCACTTGATTCCAGGAAGCAATATGAGAGCTGCGACAATTTTTATAAGAAAGTCTGAAAATGCTCCCTGTTTCAGAAGTGTAGGGGCACCATGGCCAAGAGAATTTCAACGGAAAAATTTCTTCGTGTCACTTCATTGGAGTCTGTGGCATGCTTAATGGAAGCATATATCTCTGCAATTGTGACCCGCGTCTTATCTTTACCAAGGAATAGCCCAGATGCTAGCGGACGTCCTCCATAGCGCTCCTGAGGTATTCCACGATATTTTTGCTGGTTACCAGCAGCATCGGTCTGCCTCACAATGATTATGAAGATATTTTCTCGAAGAATTACCTCCGAACCGTAACGGAGCCAACCATAACATTGATTTCGTTGACGACAAATCAATGTTACCCGGGTAAGCTGCTGTGGATGGCGGCCTTTGTGATTACAAAGATGAAATTTTACCGGCTATGTTAGCTTAGAAGGGCCGCAGAGTACAGCCCAGCTGTGCAATGCAGCCCACAGCACGGCAGATCCGCCACTGAAGTGACACCGGGTGAAGCCAAAGAGATAAGCCGTTTAGACAGGGTGAGCACCCGAAGTCAGCGTGAACTTACCATGTTTCATCTGTAGTCGCGTGAATGCGACGTATTGACGCGCTCTCTGCGGTAACAGATCTCATGGTTTGTGTAAACAATGAGGCATACTTGGCGACTTGCTCGACTGAGAGAGCGCAGAGAAAACGAGAAGTAGGAGACAAGCACGCAGATTCAGCGCGTCAACGCGTCGCGCATTGTACGTCACTGCGATGGAACATCATTATTCACGATGACTTCGTGTGCTCACACCGTCCAAACGGCTTAAGTCGAAGACGAGCGGGTCTTATCTGGTATCCATCAATCAGCTGTGATATCAATCCGGCCCGTCTCAATATTCCTTTCCTATCGGAAAAGTCACCCCAAACTCAAAAGAGCCTTTACTAGTCACCTAAATGAAAGTGCCTTCCTAGCCAGTAGAAACACTTGCTGAAGCCGTCCTATCATCGCCTGCGCATCGCTGGGCGTGTGGGCGAGGACGTGCCCATACTGTATAAGCAAGAACAGATACTACAACCACATATACCTTCTCTTGCAGCCATACAATAAAGGCGTTCAACTCTTCTCTCTGTACATAGTTTTCCTCCTCATATAAATCCACTGAACCACCGCGAGGTGATTTAAAAGGGTCCAACATAACCCTCAAGTCTCCAGTCACCCGCGACAACTCCGTCCCAGACACACGACGCACTTTGTATCCGGATAACACTTGTTGCCGTCCAAATTCCGCCATTTCCATAAGAAGCGGGAGTTTCCGTAGAAAATTGTAAAAACAGCCACGAGATTGGCTATGTTAAGCGGCTATGCAATTGAGCTTTGCACGAACTTGTTCCCAGGTATAAAACTTGATTCGTCGAGATCTATTGAAGAAGAATTTCACCAAGCATACCCACACGATCTCAAATCAAGTGACGGAAAGAAGAATTTTTAGTGTAAAATTCTCTTGCCCTGGGTACCCCTATACTTTTGAAACAGGGACACTTACAAAATTTCCAATGCAGGATGGAACCCTCATTCTTGTGATGAATTCCGAATGCTGGACGTGTTTTTACTACATTGTCGGACGCCCCTCTCCGCCTCTCTTTCGCAAACAATGAAGGTGTAGACGGATAAGGACCACCAGCCAAAGCAGGATCAAGCATTGTTTTGGTCAGATTCAAAAGCAACACCACACTCTTCACTCCTCCCGCCCCACTCCCTCCCGTCCCCGGTAACTATAGGACCTTCATCCAGGTGTTCCTAAGTCATCTACTAAAGCGCCGACAATTTCGAACTTTACTCGTTTGTTTTAGACTCCGTCAAAAATTCCACTTCCCAAAGAAAAGCATCTCTAACTTTTCCCTTTCTGAAAATGATATGCCAATTCCACAATACGATCCAACACGAAAACCACAAATACGATCACAGTCGTCAAACTTGGACCACTGGATGATCGAACCCGGCGGGAACTACCATTTGGAGGGGAAGTGAACTCTCAGGGCAAATTGGAAAACGCGTAAGACTTGTTTAGCTTAACTTGAACGCCCCATTCTCTGCGAAAAACCCTTCTTCATGCACTCCTATATCCTCTTTCTATAGGCTTATTTACCCTTTATAAAAAACTAAATTATCGTAAGCATCGATTCAAAAATGACGCCCATGGTGGAAAAAAGTGGCACAATAAGTTCGTCATATTCAACAAAGTGTTTTCAGGTGAACAAACAGCCGTGCCCTACCCACCAAAACCTCCGGAAAATGTTACGCCTCAGAAAACAGTCCCTCTAACAGATGTGTTTCCAAAAGAACTTCCAAAAGAGGTCATAAAAATGATTAAAACGCGTGCGCGGCTGAAAGCGCGAAAATCGCGTGCAGATGCATTGTCACGATTGAAAACTGCCCTACAGGATACACAGAAGACGCAGTCCGAAATGTTACCTCCCAGGCCAAAAGAACCACATAAACCTAAGCCAGGACCTGCTGGCAGGACTGTTAGCCAGAGTCATCCGCCTGAGGAAAAAGGAATAGTGATCAAAGAAGAAAAACAGAAAACTGGAGAGCGACCACGAAGCAAAACAATCGCACCTACTCAAACTGCAAGCATTGAGAGTGGAGACGGAGACGAACTTCATGCTACAGAAGGCTCAGCAGTTGGTAGTAAGGAGAAAAAGTCAGTTGGCCCACTAAGCGGCTCGAAAGAAGGAGTCGGCCCACCCAGCGGCTCGAAGGAAAGAGTCAGTTCTCGTGAAGACGTCATGTTAACAGCTGAAGACAAAGTGAATATAGGCGAAAAACAAGCGGTTAACTCTCAAAGACTATGGCAAGACAAATGATAGCATGTAACAGACCTACGTTTCATGTCCAGAGCTCATATTCTACAGCCGTTTCATAATATTTTCACCGTTTTGCTTAGAGGCTGTATCGTTTAAAATAAATTATTTATTTGAATGTTACGGGAAATTCAAATAATTTCATAAACTAATCGATAATAGCAAAACAGCTATAGCTATTCCACCAGAGTCAACTTGAGTGTGAAATGAAGCTATTGAAATAGACAAGACTATCCGCGTTGTGCATTTGTGGCACTGTTAATATTAGCTGCACAACTAACCAAAACCAGGGTGAGCAACCGGGGTCTATCAACGGTGGGAGGGGTATGAAAGGAGGCAGCGTAACACGAAGGGAAGGAAGGCTTTGGTATAGGGAGTTTCTGCAATGATGTTTTAAGAGATGTTCACGAAAATCTGCAAGACTGTGTGAACGTGGTGTAATTTTGGAATTTTTCTCGCCTTGATTATACAGTATACCCACATCCCTCCAAAAGACGGATATTTTTGTAGACACTCTTGTGGGGTCAGATGGGATCAGGTAGAACCTTCAGCTTACCTCATTTGATAAGTACATGACTTGGAAGCGGTATTAGCCCTTCCTTGGGCGAGATTGTTTCAGCCAAATTTCCTCGAAAAACGGCCTGCATCTACGTGTCCGGCGGTAAATAGAATGCGTAGTGGCTATAGCTCCTTTACCATCGAACAGATTCAATGAGTAACACGTGCAGTGATCCCTACTATATATAATCGGCTAAGCGGTTGTGTGTGTGTGTGTTTGTCTGTCTGACCGGAAATTCATAGCTCGGGCACCAGTGGTCGTCAGGAGTTGGTTTCAAGATATGATATAGGGGGTGGGACGGGAACATATTTGGTGGGGGGTCAAAAGTGATAACGACAGATGAGGACTGATAATTACGATATGCGTACGAACGTAGAGATTACTCGAAACCAGATTGCAGATAATGCATTTCATTTCAATATCATTTCATTAGCGTTATAATTGTAAATTCAAACACCTTTCAACCGCTACACCTTCTAGAGTTCTTGAGGATGAATGGGATGCTCGAATAAATATGATAATGAATACTGGGCATTCCGTTTTGAGATATTCGACCGCTAAATTACCTCGATACTCGACGCATAGTGGTTGTTTACATCATCACTTTAGCTGTGCACTTCACTGCGCTTATCAAACAGTGAGATACAGCCAAGATGGGCAACGGACAGTAATGCATTTAACGAAGCAGCTATAGTTAAGCGGTGAAACCCAAAGCTTCACCGATTGTCAGTTTTGTCAGAGGCTTCCGTGTCATGCGCGCGGCGGCCAGTAAATCCTACTATATAATCGGCTAAGCGGTTGTGTGTGTGTGTGTCTGTGTGTGTGTATGTGTTTGTCTGTCTGACCGGAAATTCATAGCTCGGGCACCAGTGGTCGTCAGGAGTTGGTTTCAAGATATGATATAGGGGGTGGGACGGGAACATATTTGGTGGGGTAAAGAAAGTGATCACAACTGATAAGGGCTGATAAAAGGCGCTAGAACGCAAGTGTCGCGAAATTCATAGCTCGGGCACCAGTGGTCGTCAGGAGTTGGTTTCAAGATATGATATAGGGGGTGGGACGGGAACATATTTGGTGGGGTAAAGAAAGTGATCACAACTGATAAGGGCTGATAAAAGGCGCTAGAACGCAAGTGTCGCGAAATTCATAGCTCGGGCACCAGTGGTCGTCAGGAGTTGGTTTCAAGATATGATATAGGGGGTGGGACGGGAACATATTTGGTGGGGGTCACAAAGTGATAACGACTGATATGAGCAGATAAGAGGCGCTGAAACACAATTTTCACAAAATTCATAGTGCGCTTCGCAGCAGTCGTCAGGAGCTGATTTTGGGACATGATATAGGGGGTGGGACGGTAACATATTTTGTGGGGGTCAAAAAGTGATAACGACAGATGAGGACTGATAATTACGATATGCGTACGAACGTAGAGATTACTCGAAACCAGATTGCAGATAATGCATTTCATTTCAATATCATTTCATTAGCGTTATAATTGTAAATTCAAACACCTTTCAACCGCTACACCTTCTAGAGTTCTTGAGGATGAATGGGATGCTCTAATAAATTTGATAGTGAATACTGGGCATTCCGTCTTGAGATTACCAAAAATTATTCGACCGCTAAATTTCCTCGATTCTCGATGCATGGTGGTTGTTTACATACATCACTTTAGCTGTGCACTTCACTGCGCTTATCAAACAGTGAGATACAGCCAAGATGGGCAACGGACAGTAATGCATTTAACGAAGCAGCTATAGTTAAGCGGTGAAACCCAAAGCTTCACCGATTGTCAGTTTTGTCAGAGGCTTCCGTGTCATGCGCGCGGTAGCGGGCTAAATGATTTTATACTGGTGTATTAAGACGTATGTTCTGCCGATCTGCCGACCTACACAATCTATTGTTACAAATGCTGTCGCAAAATGCGCCCACACAGAATGTTCCCTCAAATCGGTGAGAAGCCTAAAGAGGAATTAGTGCAAGGAGAAATGTGGAATGTCCAACTGAAAATCTGTCCGCATTAGTGAAGAAAGTTAAGTGGTACAAGAAACTTTTAGGTATTTTTCGAAGCCAATTTTCAGCCAGAGAATATTTCAGAATAAGATGGTTGCAAGCTGATGCAGCTTCAAACGCTAAAACGACGTGTGTGGTGAAACAATTACGTTTGACCTGAAAATTGTCCTCAAACGGTGAAGGGTGTGCGACACCTCAATACCTAAGGATTCCACGACAAGGTCGGAGGTCGAAAAAAGGGAGATCTTTTCAATAGAAATGCGAGCGTCCACCTCCTGGGCTCCGGTGCGTATTTTGAGCGAAAGGTATGCCCCAGCGGCCTAGCAGGGCCATTTTCGCGTTGTCGCGTCGCTCGCGCTGCTGCACTCCACCGATTGGCTAACCCCTCGCCGTCGAACTAGCCGCTCTAACAGAAAAAGCGCTGGATGAGGTGAGCATCTATAGAATCTTCTAATGCTCAAATCAACGAGCAAAAGATGGTCCTATTCCGCGTGTTCTAGGCCGTTTTTCTTTGTTGTTTTCTTTATCCCTGCATCACCGTTCACCTCTACCTAAATTTCTAATGAGCAGTCTTTTCATCGTAAACTCCGCCTTCGGAGGCACACCACAGGATGAGCTTGAACGGATCAATCCTTCTGAAGGGTAGTACGACGCCATTCTCGAAATTCGCAGGTCAAATGTTTTCGCGTCTCCAAAAGGGGCGTAAAAGAGTTCAGGGCTTTGTCAGACCGCTTCCACTGCTTTCGCTGTTTCTCGTGTGCAATATGCGGGTGCCTGCTCTTTCATCCGTAGTGCTCCCTCGCTTATCTCCTCCACGCTCAGTGTCTGTTCATTTAGCACAGCTCATTAAAAGATTCATTTTTGGTGTTTTCAATGGTCCTTTCCCCTCTTTTTGCCGTCCACTTCGCTCTTTTGTTGTCATTATTGTGAGTAACGACCACGCTAATTTGATCGATGGGTGTGCCACTAACATCGGAAAATTTTGAAATGAAAAATTACTAAAAATAACTTCACCTTTTCTCCCTGTTGCGGCTACCCAAGGCGAACAAAAAAGAAATGAAAGGACCGTGCTTGACTAGATAATAGATTAGGTTAAAGGCAGCGATTACGATAAAGAGGGAGCGCATCGGGGAAGCATATGCACCACAATCAGTTACTTGGCTGCCAGGGAAGCGAGGTGTGGCGCTTTCACGACGAAAGGTGCGCTGGTTGCTGAGCAGGACTTCGAAAGCACTCCGCCCCCAAAAGCGATCCGCCCACTAGTTAGTTGGTTATTTGGATGCCCAATACATATTGCACACAAATGTCGAATCCGATTCACTGCCACCCTTATACTGAGGCGCACTAGGTTCTGGTAATGACCTATTTCCTACCTACAGGACGAGGCGCTTGCAAGGTCAACCGTCACGTTGGACAAATTTCAAAAATTTTACGACCCCCCTCCTTCTGGAGGGCTTCGATACGACCCTCCAGCCAGGGCCAACCCTACCGTTGGTAACCCACATTTCCTCCAAAACAGCCGTCGAAGCGCGGGGGGGGGGACTATATCAACAGTGAAACGGTCAAAAAAGAAATATTTTAACGCTGCCTCCGACCTTGCGAATACGACCTAGCTTTTCGTCGACCCCGAATACGACCACCCTCGTTGAACTTCGTCCAACGGACGTTGACCCTGGGCGCTTGTCCATCAGCCGCTACTAGCAACACCAATCATGAAAAAGCTGCATGGCACATCACTCCATTACGCAGCTCCAGTGCTTGCCTTCAGTTGATTCCCAACTAGTTCTGCCAAACAGTGAAGTTAAAATCAGCTCCAAGCAGCGGTACTCACCTATCTTCAGATCAGCACGTATAACCGTAACTTGGAACATAGCTCTTACACGAGAAAACCCACAGTTTCAGCGTAATATGGTAGAGAAGCTGCTTCGAGGGCACTCGCGCCCCACTGAAAAAGCATAAGACTCCACTACTCATAAACAATCTACGGACTACTTGGACTCGATCCTTCAAAAAGCGGCTGCCCACACTGTGCTCCAACGCCTAAATACTGGTTCATGGCCACAGCTATCTTGCACGCTTTTGGCACAAGAAAGTGCTCCACATACACCTCACCAACCCTACCCCCAAAATGCCTTCAGGAAAATAAAGCGTCGATAAAATCCTCTACAGGGCCCGACTCGGTGAGAAAGTGCCTGAGGGTGAAAGTCCGCATGGAGAGCATAGACGACTCGCGCGTCGTGAGAGTGAGTGCTATCGCAGAGGAGCGTGAATGAACAGACAAAAATCCTCATATATATTTTCACCATGGTTTCCTTCGTTCCCTCTGGTCTCACGTACCCTTCCGCTTGGCAGCATTAGAGCTACGGTAGGCACCGTTCCACAACCGTTTACGCACTGGCCTTTTAAGAGATATGTAAGGTAATTTCCCGAA